ACTGAAGTATAAATAAAGACCGGGGCAGTTTCTTAGTGCGAGTCTCTCAGTAGGGAGCTGCCCTTGCTAGCAAGAACTCTGTGTGTTTCTCTTCTCTGAGTCTTTACTGAAGAAGTGTTTTAGAATATTTTCCCTAACAGCTGACATAAGCAAGTGTCGTGTCCTGTAATGACTATACCATATTGCACCACTAGAGGGTGGTGTCATGAAATAAGAGTAAAGTGCAGTCGGGAAAATTTAGAGTTAGAATAAAGTTAAGATGCTAACTGATAACTCAATGTGCATGTTTTTTTCTGCTTAGTTTTTTTGTCATCATGGCTGCAAACGCCTCTCCACTGCTTTGCCTTGCCCTGGAGATCCTGCTTTGGCCTTTAACATGTGGATGCGTATGTTCAACAATTATTTGCACGAAGAAGAGCTACTTTACTTCACTGCTTAGGAACAGAGGGACAAAGGATTTTCTGCTCAATGCCAAATACAGGTGATACTTCCGCCTCTGCTGTTACTGCCCTAGAACAACACTTTTCACCCAAGGTAAATGTTGTTGTGGAAAAACATGCTTTCAGAAAGCGAACACAAGCTTCACATAAGACTGTTATCCAGTATGTGGCGAGCTTGCGTGACCTTGCTTCTAAATGTTTGTTTGATGACAGGACAGAAGAAATGATCCGTGAACAGCTAGTTGAACATGTGTCTAGCCCCAGCATAAGAGAAAGAAATTTGCTTGAACCCGATTTGACTCTAGATAAAGCTGTTACACTGGGAACACAAATGGAATCTGCAGTTCAACAAGCTAAATCCATAGCTGCAGACAGCAGTACTCCAGTCCAAGCTGTGCAGTCTCACTCACACTCCATGCAGGAGCGTGAGTGAGAAACACAAATCCAATGCTCAACCTGCAAAGCCATCTCATGCAACCACACCCACTAAGAACTGTTTTAGATGTGGTTCAAACAGTCATTTAGCCAACTTCGTCAGAGTCCTGCTGCCAAAGCTACATGTAAAATGTGTCATAAAATTGGACATTTTGCTCGTGTCTGCTGCTCATCCAAGAAAAAAGATGTATGGGAAGTCCATTTACCAAACTCACAGTCCTCTACTTAACAGATCCTTCGCATGCATCAAAAGGATTGCAATGCAGCATAAATGTGAGAACACCTACCTCATCAGCTAAGGACATTGAACTGATTGTGTACACAGGTTCTGCAGTTTCTATCTTGCCTAACCACATCTACAAAGAGCACTTCAGTGATACGCCACTACAACCACCTGACCTTCAACTGGTTACATACACAAAGAAAACAATTCCTGTTAGGTTGCCTGCAAGTCACAGTGAGCAGAGGAAATGCATCTGCCTCAGCTGTGTTCTTTGTTGTAAAAAAAAGGAACTCCTCTTCTTGGAAGAAATCTGATGGAAGCACTGAATGTCAGCATTGCAGGCAATACTGTTCTACCTCCATGTACTGATCCTACTGCTTCTGTGATGTCTACAAATCCATCACCTGCTTCTTGCATCCCTGCTGCCCCAGATATTGGCTGCGTGCGTGCCTTTGTGTATAAAGTGAAAGTTGACCCAACAGTCAAACCTGCCCGTCAGAAGCTGCGACGTCTCCCGTTTGCTGTGAGGGCTTCAGTTTCAGCAGAACTGAATCGTTTACTCAAAGCTGGTGTCATTGAACGGATTGATGCATCACCATGGGTATCCCAATTGTTGTGACAGGATGGAAAACTGGTGGAATAAGGCTGTATGCAGACCTCCGTGAACCAAACAAAGCTGTGATCACTGATTGCTACCCCTTACACATGTGGATGAATTGTTTGCCAGCTTACGGGTGCAAAAGTGTTTTCTACAATTGATCTTGCAAATGCATACTACCAGCTGCCCCTGCATGAAGATAGCAGAGATTTGACAGCATTCATTACACATGATGGACTCTTCAGATTCTGCAGAGTACCTTATGGACTGGCCTCTGCCCCCTCAGCTTTTCAGAAAATGATGGCTGAAATCCTTAAAAAAGACCTCCCAGGTCTCCAAAATTACCTGGATGACCTTACTGTCTACAGTAAAAGTGCAGCTGAGCATGACCAAAACCTTAACACTATCCTGCAGAAGCTCAAAGATGCTGGACTTGTGCTTAACGAAAACAAATGCCATTTTAGGAAGACATTACTATGCTTCCTAGGTCATGTTGTCACTGCTGATGGCATTCTTCCTGATGAGGAGCATATTGATTTTGTTTTAAGAGCCCTCCCCATCTGATGCTGTTGCTTTGAGATCCTTCTTGGGCTTGATGTCATGGTACTCCAAGTTCTTGCCAAACTTTGCAACTGTTGTAGCCCCTATGCATGCCTGTGCTAGCGACAAGAACACCTTCACACGGACTTTAGATGCACAAGCGAGCTTTGAAGAAGTTAAAAAACTCCTGGTGAATAGTCCTGCACTGCTACTGTTTGACCCTGCCTTGCGTGTAGTGATCTCTACTGATGCAAGTGACTATGGGCTTGGTGCTGTATTTGCTCAAGTGCAATCTGATGGCACAGAAAAACCTGTGGCGTTTGCTCCCCGCACACTGTCTGCAACACAACAAAAGTACTCAACTATTGAAAAAGAAGCTTATGCTTGTGTGTGGGCTGCAGAGAAATGGAGAACATATTTGTGACGCCGACGTTTTACTCTGCAGACAGACCACCAAGCTCTGACAACACTGCTGAGCACCAAAGGGATTAATCGGGCTGGCATGTGCATCGCCCGCTGGTCTGCCTAGGTTCTCCAAACTATACAGCTGACTGTCTCTCTCGCCTGCCCCTGTCTGTTTCTTCCCATCCCACATCAGATGCAGATCATGAAATGATAGCTCAAGTTGCTGCTGCCATGTCCTCACTTCCAGTTGCTGACTCTGACTCTGCCTGTTCAACTTGCCCTGAACTGGTTGCTTTGCGTTCACAAATATAAAGTGGCTGGCCTGCCTCAATCAAAGCACTTGATGTCACACTTGCACCTTACTACAAAATCTGTAATGCACTCTCAACCCTAAGTGATTATGTTCTCAGAGGCTCAAGGCTCATTGCACCACTTTCAGTGAGACCTAAACTGATTGCACTGGCACATGGAAGTCACCAAGGGATTGTGCTCACAAAACGCCTTTGCCAGTTCAATGACAAAACTGCACATACTAATCCTGCTCCCAGAACATTGTAACTGACAATGGTACACAGTTTACCTCTGTAATAGAGGCATCTCCCACAGCAGAACATCTGTCTACTACCCAGCTGCAAATGGAGCAATCGAAAGGTTTCATCGTGCCCTCCGCACCTCTATCCAGACAGCAATCCAGCAGTCAAAACCATGGAAGGAGACTGTGCTGGATTGGCTTCAAGTTTACCGTGCAACACCGCATGTAACTACTTCCCTCTCTCCCTATGAACTCCTGTATGGCAGAAAGATGGTTACTAAACTGGATGTACTCCCTTTGCCTTCTGCTGTGTCTCCACTGGATAACATTGCACGTCACTCAGTTCAGAAATATCAGTTGAAAATGCAACGTTACACTGATTGTAGGCATCACGCACAGAAACCTTCGTTTCTACCAAGAGAGAGTGTGAGGATGAGGAAACCCACCATGTTCCCAAAGGACATCCCAGATTTACCCCTCCTATAACAGTAACAAAAGCCAAAGGCTCAAAACTTTTTTTGTATGTCTTGTTTTTTTTCTTGAATAAATTTCATCTAGGTCATAATGGATGGAAAAACAGAAGGACTAACATGACTGTTTTATGTTCAGCAGGCATAGAAAGCACTGGATGTCTGGGGGTCTGGGTCTCTTCCATTCCTGCTTCATGTCCTGGGGGCATATGGCTCCCTACACCTACTATTAGACATTTAGATGGAGAAATCTTATGAACACAAGAGCTCTTACACACAGAGGTGTACAAACAGGTAATCACAGATGCACAGTATCTTGGTCGGCTGCTGCCTCTAAACACATAATGCATTATTAGTACTCTATGCTGCTCAGTAACATTTAATATTTATTATTTACTGTTACTTTTGCATATGTTGGTTGTTGCTGTGGTTTCCCTGCTGTTGTTTTTTTTTTGCTCATTTTTTTTCAGCAGATTTTCAGTGTCTTTTCTCTCTCTATCTCTCCTCTCCTTCTGTTAACTGTCTTCCAAACTTCTCTTTCCTTTTTCTTTCTCTTTCCTCTCCCCGTCCTATCTGTTCTGATTGTAATAACTCATAATAAAAAATCCTCTATTTTATCTATCTATCTATAAAAACTATTACTATCAAGTGGACCAGGACAGCAAAAGCGGAACTTGGTCAACTTGGGAACATAAATCTGCTGGGCTTTTTCTTGGGCTTCAGACAATAATTCTGATTGCCGGGCAGGACAGGCAAGGACAAAAAGAAAAGAGAGTAAACATGAATGTCCTTCCTCTGTGGTTCTTTTGCTGTCTGCAGGAAGAACAATGGGGCTTAGTTGTCTTGTGCTGAATATTTTAGATGTTCAGGTAACTTTCAGTCTCAATGACTGTTCTAAGTATTGATATTATTCCTCTACATTTATGTATATATATGTATGCTGTATGTATTCATTACTTTTTCTAAAACTCTCCTGCTCAAACCTGATGGAGTGCAATAAAAAATGGCACAAGAGTTAAAATGCTTAAAATACAAACATTTTTACAAGGCATGTTTACAGCCTGTTAAAATAATAATAATAATAATATTAATAATAATAGTGACCATTTGGAAAACATCACCATTATTAAGCACCAGTCTAGCTTGTTCTGCTCTTTAGCAGTTTGTGGTCTGTCCACCGTAGGCTGCCATTATCACAGCTCATGATCTCAGTAGCAGTCTCTGCAGATGGGTATTTGGTTGGCGCTTGCAGGTTATGTTTTCAGTAATATTTTCCACTGAACCCTGTTATTATCTTTGAGTTAGCACGCAAAAAGACTCTCTGCTAGAAACTGATTGCAATCGCAGCAATGCACATGCAAGTGTGGGGGCTGGGTGAGGAGTTTACAGATGAAAAGCCTTTTATCTCTGCTTGTTGCCACAAATAAAATAATTTCTAAATCAGGTTATTTGTCTTTATACTGTGACACTGATATCTGTATTTGTAATTGTCATACTTTGTAAATCCAAATTTTCAACAAGGTTTACATATATACACAAAAACACATCATATGTTTATACATATATAAAAGTGACAAAGGGCAGCGCTAAGTGGCAAAATTCACCAGTGATATAATGATATAAGAACAAACCGTCAATGAAATAAAAATTACTAACAGCAATGAAATGGTTAAATGTACAGTTCTGAAAAAGACATAACAAGGTTTCCAGTTGTTACGAAATAAATAAGAGTAACAACTTGGACTTAAATATTCTGCACTGTGACAAAATCAAGGCTATAATGCAGTGACATTCCCGCATTTCAGTGTCTTCTGCTATAATAGCACATGCACACAAGGGTCATCCCCACAGCAAACACTACAGTTGTTGTATCCCTTTGTTCTTGGATTATAGTGAACAACCTTTCTTTGTGTGTAATTGCTCTCACGGTTAGAAAAGGGAGACAAAAGGCACGTGACCTGCTAAAATAGAATAAAAATAAAAATACATGAGCATAATATTTACATGATCATGAATTATTCCATTCATATGAGTAACATGTGAAGCCCATCGAACTGCCTAATCTAATTTTGTCGAACACAGCAAAAAGGTAAAATGAAGATTCAAGTGTGATGCACAAAATTTTAAATGACAGTTGCAGAGATGTGTTAAAAGGCTTGTTCAACACCATGTGGGGTCTGTTTCTGTTGAAAGGACAACAGATTCTTCATCAGAGCTCGTGTTATTTCTATACTTCACCACAGTGTAATCAGCATGCTGCTCTTCTCTTGGCTGAAGTGGCTCTATGGTAGACAAAAGAGGATCTGTGTGGTTTTTAAAGAAGTAGACTTTGCTGTAGAGGACTTCATCCTCCACCTGTGGCTCACCTAAGATGTCTTCACGCACAGGATCAGGATTTAGCTGAGAACAAAAAGCGATACATCATAATTCACTTAAAGATTTGACTCCTTTGACTCTGTAAGAAAGATCATTCAGTATGAAAATGTGTTTTCCAACTCTACAGTAATCTTTACCTCCACTATGTTGTTTGATGTTTCGTTTGTGGAAGACTGACTCGTAGTCCTCTTTTTTCTGATTATTGAAAGTAATAAACAGAAAAAATAAGTGAGTTCATGCCAGAGATAAAATGTTGTCACTTTGAATCAAACACCGTGTTGCTTACCTAATCAAAAAGAAGAAAAGGAGAAGTATTGAAACCAGAACTATTACAGAAACTCCAATTGTCCATGTTCCTGTGATACTTTGGACAGTGAGAGTCTTTGGAGCAGAGCTGATATCTTTGTTGGTTTTCACAGCACAGGAGTAGCTTCCTGCATCCTCCCTGCTGACTGGGTCTAGGATCAGATGTTTGTTCTGGTTCTCGCTCGCGGTCAGAGGTCGACTGTTCAAGTACCAAATGTAGTTTGTGTTGTCAGTCAGAGGACATCTGGTGCTGCAGGTCAGTGTGACTCTCTGACCCTCTGTCACCACTGCAGAAGGACTCATCTTCACTCTCAGCTCTGAAAGACGAACATTTAACAACAACAATAATAATAATAGTAATAATAATAGTATTAAGGCAAGACATGAAACTCTTCCAAATCGCAACATGAATTACTCACAAAACATGAGTTTTAATTGAGGCCTGACTGCAGGCAGACCCTCCAGTCCTCATATTCAGTTAAATAATAAAACATTTATTTGACTTTGAGTAGTTTTCAGTTTAAATATTATATTTTCTTAGGTTAGGGTGTCATTCTAAATGTGTGTTTAAGATTTCGTTGTTAGTTATTCTCAGGTTTTTCCTGTCCTCCTATGTCTGTGTTTCTGTTGTTGCCCATATTTACTCAGTTTTATCTTTGTGTTTACTTTGGCCTGTTAAATTTGTGTTTCAGTCTCAGTGTTATGTTCCTGTTTTATTTTGGTAGTCTCTTGTGTTGTGTTCAGTTTTGCTTCCCTTGTCATTAGTCTGACTTATTTCACATGTGCCTTGTTTTTCCCAGCTTCCCAGTGTTCCTTGTCACGTTGCTGGTTCCTCATGTTGAGTGTGCGTCTCTGTTAGTGAGTATTTGTGTCTCTGCCTGCCATGCAACTGTGGTGGATCATAAATTTGATTAGTTTTGAAGTTGTACATCTCTGTTCCTTACATTTCATGTCATGCCCTTATTAATGTTTTATTTGTTGCTTTGACTGTTTTCGAATAGAATATGCAGTGGGAATATAGAGGGAGATAAGTAGTGAAAGTTTTGCCTGGGTTGATTGTGCATCGATCCATTGTTAATGCCTCAGGGCTCCAGTAGGTGGGTTCGCGCGCTTCCTCCTTCACTCAATACAGACGAGTGAGAGTGAGAGCTGCGTGTCTGTGCCTTTCTTTCACCTCTCCTCACTATTTCCCCTGTTTAAGGTAACTGTCATGCACAAATCTATATAAATGTGTGTTACTGTTGATTATTACATTGTTATCATTGTTCATTGTAGCGGAAGATGTGAATTGCGGACTATTTTGCTGAGAAGTTCCAGTTAATCTCTGTTGCTGCGTATGCTAGTTTTCGCTATTACTTCGCCATATTGTGTGAAGATTTTTCTGTTACGATCTGTATAAGTTAACTACTGAAAGACATGCAGTACTTAAAGTATTATTTCATTGCTGTGGAAAGTTAGTGACTGTGTCAGCTAACATGTGCGAGTTAAAAATATGTTTTTGTCTAATGCTACAGTTCATGTTATCTAAAGTATTCTCATCAGCTAATGCAGCGAACAATAGTGACTTAGTTTGGATACAGTTGTCCTGAGACTGAGTGCATCCATAAGAATATTGTTTTGGTTGTATTGCTTCTGAAACTCAATACAGACAAGTGAGAGTGAGAGCTGCGTGTCTGTGCCGTTCTTTCACCTCTCCTCACTATTTCCCCTGTTTAAGGGCACAACACAATCAGCCCATGATACCTTATCCAGTGGGACTGTGAAACACTATTGCATTTGAGGCATTTGGCCATCATTCTGGTACAAATGAATCTTGATTCATTTGTCCAAATATTTCATTTTTCCAGAACATTTTAGTAAATAAACATGAAATACTTGAAATAAACTCCGGATCTTTCTTTGCTTAATGTATCTTGCTATCAGATATCCAGTTCCCTTTTGAGCCTCTGAAAATGGGGGACCGTATAAATATGATTGTATTTCCTGAACCATTTAAGTAATTCTTTTATTAAAATGCCTCAATTGAAGATGAAAGTTGTTACAAAAATTATTTCTTTGTCGAAAAACTCATTTGTATATAATTTTAAAACTATTATATTAAATCAAGCAAAATGCCAGTTTTTACTTTTGATATTTTAACTATAGTTATTTTTCATAGCATTTACATGCTTTTAATTAAGAACAAACTTTTCATTGTAAGGGAATATTTTAACATTGTTATATAACCGAGAAAGATCTGAATAGTTCTAGCGCTACTGCTCATATTGAAATATTAATGAGTAAAGTCTGCTGACTGAGGAGTTTAGATTTACCTGTGACAATCAAAAAGACTCCAGGCAAATCAGACTGTGTCCATCCTTCATGATCTTTGTTGAATCTGAATGTGTATCCTCCTGAGTCATTCTTCTTCAGGTTGTTGATGGTCAGGATGTGTTGGTTCTTCATGTTGTCCTGATACTCCACACCACCTGCAGCCTCAATCAGCTCTTCAACTTCCACTTTATCTTTTCTCCATTTTTTACTCCAACATTTAAACTCTGGCTTCATGTTATCAGGATGTGAGTATTCACTTGTGATGTTCACTGAAGATCCTTCCAGAGCACAGATTCTCCTGCTGACATAATTCACTCTCCAGCAGTTTTTATCCTGAACACCTGACATATAGATGGAAGATTTAAAGTTGTTTGATTGGTCTGTGTTTCATTATTAGTTGAAAAGAAAAACAGATTTGACACTTACAAACTTTTTTAGATTGAAGATGTGTGTGACCTTTAACTCCACAAGAGAATGTGTCTGTTGAAGAGTTATGAGTTGAAAAATGTTGATTCTCATGATAGTTTATTTTGTTGTGATACCACATGTAGACAGCTTGATGGTCAGTCAGATTACAGCTGTTGTTACAGGTCAGTGTGACAAATCCCAAGGTGGAAGAAGCTCTCTGAACATAAACCTCTGTCGATCGAAGATAAATACACTTCTCGTCACTATTTGGATATAATCATGCGGCTCATTTAAGTCACATAATTGTGCAGTTTAAACGAATATGATATAAAGGTTTGGAGAAGTGTTTATACAATTTGTTTGTGGAAACTTCACCTCTAGGGTATGTGATGGAGCACGGCTCATCCACTGATGTCTGATTATAAGAACACATGTTTCCATAAGCATAAGTGACACTGAAGCATATCTGTGTGATAGAATCTGGACAAAAAGAAATTAGATTTAATATTTTTACTGAGGTTATTTTTACAGTTTTTTGCTGAAGGGTTTGTAGGGACTATAAACATCATGACTCACCCACAGAGACTTCAGGGGCTCTGAGATGCTCGTAGCCTTTGACAGCACAGGAGTATGTGACTGCTTCCTCACTGCTGAGCAGCTCTTGGTACCAGGGAGACCAGTCCTCATAGAGAAACTCTCTGTTCTTGTACCAGATGTAGGCTGCAGGCTTTTCAGTCAGAGGACAGCTGCTGCTGCACATCAGTGTTACTGTCTGTCCCTCTGTGGCAGGAATCACCTTTACCTGCAGCTCTGAGAGGATGATGGAGAACAACTTATACAATGATGTCATTTGGAAAGTAATTCATGAGTAAAAGTCACTGTACCTGCAACAACTTGAAGAGTAATTCTGTTTAGCCAACAGTTTCCTGCACTGTCTGCAGTCTTCATACAGCAGTAAGCGTTTGCATCACTCTCTCTTAGATCATTGATGGTTAAAGTTGGGATTTTCTCTTCAGACATGTTGTACGTTACACGTTGTCCATCCACAGAGAGCTCACTCTGAACATACTTGTAACCATCCCAGTCTATAGTGAACCATTTTCTGCTTGAAGTCAGATGTTGATGTGAGCAGTGCAGATCCACTGATGAACCTTTGAAAGCACAGATCCTGGTTTCTCCTCCATTAACATCTTTAACAGAAGGGAGTTAATAAATGTTTTTATCTTATTAATATGTCTTTGTTATTAATTACTTAATAATTTTCAGTACTTTACATTAGAAACTAATCTAAACTAAAATTCCTCATCTGTAAATATTACAAGATCTTTTTCTTAAGTTAATATTAACTAACGATTTTTACATAAGAACTCATAAATAATCTCTGATACCTGAAATGTAAAAGATGAGACCCACAAGCAGACGACCAGCATCTCTCAACTCCATTGTTGTTTTAGTCCAGACTTTGAGCGTAAAGCTGACAGTAAAAGCTCAAACCAAAAGATACAAAGTGAGTCATCAGACAAACTAAGCAGTACTCTTTATCAGAGCGAGGGGTGGGCTGCTAGTTCATATTCTTTGGTTTCACATATCTTGCATCTTTGAAACTAAAAGTAAACTTGCTTCCTCTTCCTTTGAATCGTTTGCATCCTTAAATGCTTTGTTGTAGCATGAATATTATTTTAATCTACATCAGTTCAATTCCTCAATAATAATGCTTTTAATTTATTTACTTGCTGCATGCAGTTGTGTTTTGAATGCATTAAATATTCAGTTTATTAAATATAAGTTGTTGAACAGAAAGGTGTGGAGGTGATAAACTGCTGAGCATATCTCAGTATGACAATTTGTAATAAACACAGCTGGAGCGATTCAGACTTTAATCTACTGTGACTATATTTTGTTTTAAAAAATATGAAACAATGAGCTATGGGGAACAATTGATTAAAAATATCTGAAATGTGTTTGAACTCTCAGACTGAATTGTATTTTCCATTTCTATAAACATTTATTTATGAAGCACTTTTAACAGAAACTCATTTTCACTTTCCTATCGTTAATCACACAATAATATTCTGTAACTAATTGGACCTGAAAGTCGTGATCTATGAATCATACAGTATTAACTCATCCTGTCGTTCATAAGTAAAGTTACTCCTGTTCTTATATCAGGATTCATGTATATTATATATAAAAACACCCAGCACGCCCCTGCGGGCGGTTTATCCTTCAAGCTCGGGTCCTCTACCAGAGGCCTGGGAGCTTGAGGGTCCTGCGCAGTATCTTAGCTGTTCCCAGGACTGCGCTCTTCTGGACAGAGATCTCCGATGTTGTTCCCGGGATCTGCTGGAGCCACTCGCCTAGCTTGGGAGTCACCGCACCTAGTGCTCCGATTACCACGGGGACCACCGTTACCTTCACCCTCCACATCCTCTCGAGCTCTTCTCTGAGCCCTTGGTATTTCTCCAGCTTCTCGTGTTCCTTCTTCCTGATATTGCTGTCATTGGGAACCGCTACATCGATCACTACGGCCGTCTTCTTCTGTTTGTCTACCACCACTATGTCCGGTTGGTTAGCCACCACCATTTTGTCCGTCTGTATCTGGAAGTCCCACAGGATCTTAGCTCGGTCATTCTCCACCACCCTTGGGGGCATCTCCCATTTTGACCTCGGGACTTCCAGGTTATACTCGGCACAGATGTTCCTGTACACTATGCCGGCCACTTGGTTATGGCGTTCCATGTATGCCTTGCCTGCTAGCATCTTGCACCCTGCTGTTATGTGCTGGATTGTCTCTGGGGCATCTTTACACAGCCTGCACCTGGGGTCTTGCCTGGTGTGATAGACCCCAGCCTCTATGGATCTTGTGCTCAGAGCTTGTTCTTGTGCTGCCATGATTAGTGCCTCTGTGCTGTCTCTCAGTCCAGCTTTGTCCAGCCACTGGTAGGATTTCTGGATATCAGCCACCTCCTCTATCTGCGGGTGGTACATACCGTGCAGGGACCTGTCCTTCCATGATGGTTCCTCGTCTCCCTCCTCTTTCTTGGGTTTCTGCTGCCTGAGGTATTCACTGAGCACTCGGTCAGTTGGGGCCATCTTCCCAATGTATTCTTGGATGTTCGTTGTCTCATCCTGGACTGTGGTGCTGACACTCACCAGTCCCCGGCCCCCTTCCTTCCGCTTAGCGTACAGCCTCAGGGTGCTGGACTTGGGGTGAAACCCTCCATGCATGGTAAGGAGCTTTCTTGTCTTTATGTCAGTGGCTTCTATCTCCTCCTTTGGCCAGCCTATTACCCCAGCAGGGTACCTGATCACGGGCAGGGCGTACGTGTTGATGGCCCGGATCTTGTTCTTACCATTCAGCTGACTCCTCAGGACTTGCCTGACCCTCTGCAGGTACTTGGTGGTTGCAGCTTTTCTAGTGGCCTCTTCATGGTTCCCATTCGCCTGCGGGATCCCCAAGTACTTGTAACTGTCCTCTATGTCTGCAATGTTGCCTTCTGGTAGTTCAATCCCCTCAGTTCTGACTACCTTCCCTCTCTTCGTTAATGATCTCATTAATATATATATATATATTAGAAAGAGGAGGGAGACGAGGAACCATCATGGAAGGACAGGCCCCTGCACGGTATGTACCACCGGCAGATAGAGGAGGTGGCTGATATCCAGAAATCCTACCAGTGGCTGGACAAAGCTGGACTGAAAGACAGCACAGAGGCACTAATCATGGCAGCACAAGAACAAGCTCTGAGCACAAGATCCATAGAGGCTGGGGTCTATCACACCAGGCAAGACCCCAGGTGCAGGCTGTGTAAAGAAGCCCCAGAGACAATCCAGCACATAACAGCAGGGTGCAAGATGCTAGCAGGCAAGGCATACATGGAATGCCATAACCAAGTGGCCGGCATAGTGTACAGGAACATCTGTGCCGAGTATAACCTGGAAGTCCCGAGGTCAAAATGGGAGATGCCCCCAAGGGTGGTGGAGAATGACCGAGCTAAGATCCTGTGGGACTTCCAGATACAGACGGACAAAATGGTGGTGGCTAACCAACCGGACATAGTGGTGGTAGACAAACAGAAGAAGACGGCCGTAGTGATCGATGTAGCGGTTCCGAATGACAGCAATATCAGGAAGAAGGAACACGAGAAGCTGGAGAAATACCAAGGGCTCAGAGAAGAGCTCGAGAGGATGTGGAGGGTGAAGATAACGGTGGACCCCGTGGTAATCGGAGCACTAGGTGCGGTGACTCCCAAGCTAGGCGAGTGGCTCCAGCAGATCCCGGGAACAACATCGGAGATCTCTGTCCAGAAGAGCGCAGTCCTGGGAACAGCTAAGATACTGCGTAGGACCCTCAAGCTCCCAGGCCTCTGGTAGAGGACCCGAGCTTGAAGGATAAACCGCCCGCAGGGGCGTGCTTGGTGTTTTATATATATATATATATATATATATATATATATATATATATGATTATGTAGCCTGTCTCTAGTTACTTTCTTTAAGGGTAACCATATGCAACCAGTGTTTGAGTTGTCTGATTGAATTGTATTCTGGCTTTGAAGAGGTGATATTAATGTTATTGTTGCAGCCCTGTAGTGGTTTAACTTGTCACTTGTCCTGTCGTATTCTTGTTCGTTTAATGTCACTGCTAAGTGTGGCTCTACAGTCAAAACGTCTGCCAGTCTTTAGCCTTTTTTAGCCGCACCCAGAAGGAAAAATAGGATTTGAACCATAGAGGTAAACACTGGTGACAAGAATTTTGTTTTAAATTCACTCTGTTTTTGTTTTTGTTTTTTGGTCTTACTGTGCTGCATGAAACACTATCATATATAAATAATTAACATATAAAAGTCATATATATCATGTATTACTTTTATAAAATAAGTACTTTACTTGTTGCTGTGTCAACTTTAAGATAAATCCAGACAATTTTGGGTGACTTCTTGAAGTTGGTTAGCAGTTCAGGCCATGTCCACCAGAGGACACCATTATAACTCTTCATCTCAGCAACATTTTCTATTGTTCTCTGCCTACTTCTTTTCAAGTTCACAGACAAGATAAGTTAGGTATAAATATCTGTAGTTATTTCATTATCTTATGTTGCAGATTTTAAAAAAAATGGTTGATCTTTATTTTTGTTTAAATAATTGGGCCCCACAACGTAAAAGGACCCAATTTTACTTGTATTTGTTTTCTGTCATTTGCATACAGTTACAGTGGTGGATGCCCAAAGTTTGGAAAAATAAATTTAACATATATACAAATGATCCCTGTAAGCCAAACGTTCAGGCTTCAGACTTTATTGCCTTTGTTTTTCTTTTCTTTATTAAGGTTATCAGTTTCACTTCTCGAACAAATCGTAACAATTTGAATTTTTACAGGTAATTTTTAACAAATCATGGTCTACTTTCAAGTAGTCAGAGCCTTCAGTGAATTTTACAGTAAAACATAAATAACAGCTTCAATACTTCATATGTATTGTGTATGTATATTGTTCTATGCAGTATCTTCCATTACTGCTCCTAGAACTGCACGCTTCTGTACAGAGACCCTTGATGTTCTGCCTGGAATCTGCTGAAGCCACTCATCCTGATTTGGGGTGGCAGCTCCTCATGCTTCTATTACTACTAAGACAATTTGGACTTTACCTCCAGTTGGTCCTTAAGCCCCTGGTACTCCTTGATTTCATTGTGTTTCTGATTTCTGATCTTGCTGTTAGCTAGAATTGACACATTTATCCAACTATGGTCCTCTCGTCCTTGCAAACCACAAATTGGTCTGGTTAGTTATATATTATATATATCATATTATTATATTATGTTATATATATTCTGTATAATTTTGTCTTTATAT